CAGTGCTGCTTTTAACCACTGCGCCACCTTGGCTCTTACTTGTCATGTGACAATGAGCCCGCTTGCCGCTCCTGCTCCAGCGTGCCTCCTTGGTTGCAAAAGCGGGGAGGTCCTCTGGGCATGTGCAGATTGCCGCCTTCATTAAACCCGTCGGGCCGAGGTTCCTTTTTTTTTTAACCATGAGGCGGTTTAACGGGGATGGAGTGGCTGCACTGAATCGTGAGGGCGCACGCATACACATCACTGTCTTCAAAGTGCATGCCGCCGTGTCGGCCATACAGCGGGACGTGACTCCCGCTCTATGGCAAAAAGCCGCGCCAGCACTTTAAAGTGCATGCCGCCGTGCCCCGCCATGGCTAAGTAAGTAAGTAAGGGTATGGCTAGCTGGTGAGAGCTAAATAGCTTGAACTAGATCTATACTAGTCTCCCTTTATTTATTTATTTATCAGCACAAATGCAACACACACACACACACACACAATACAGTATAGAGAATGCAAATATTCATTCAAAACAGCAATGGTGGGCAGAAGCAGGAGAAGAAAATATTTATAGAATAACTAACTCTTCAGCTATCAAGTTTGAAAATAAGACTTTGAAATGGGGTAGCAATGATTACTTATTCTACCAATGGTTCATCAGCTAATTTTACAATTCTTGGGAAAGGGTCAGGGATGGGATTCAGCCCTTTCGGACCTGTTTGGGTGAACCGGATGTTATGACTTTGCGCAGTTCGGAAAACCGGTAAAATTGACCACTGGATAGCGCCCCCCACCCCACCCTGGCCCATCCCGCCCTGCCCTATATATATATATATATATCATCTTCCCTTCACCACACGGTCCAGCTAATCTCCACGCCTCTTCTGCTCACCAAAGATAAGCATGCTGCCCGCTCACCCTTCGCCTCCAATTGGGGTCCAGGGACATGTGGGAATGAGCCATTCCCCAGCTCTGGCCTTCTTCTTCCTGAAAGGACTGTAGCGGAGGTCTTGCAGGCATCCCTTGCTGAGGCTGAGTTGCCCACGGGGCAGAAGCTGCTTCTCTCTGCTGCTGCTCTTGCTGGGGGAGAGAGAGCATCTCTTGTGCAATTGAGCAGCTGTAAGCTTCCGCTTTCCTCCAAGTCCCTTCCAGAAAGCGTGTGGCACAGAGAAGCAGCGTTCAACATGGCTCCCCCTCCCATCAGCGGTGGAGAGAAGCCGCTGCTGCCCTGGGGAGCAGAGGTGGAGCGGAGCAGGACCCCTGAAAGGTTGCCCAGGCGACCCTCGCCATATGGTGGAAGCTGCACATGTGCAGAAGCTGTGTGTGCGCGCAGAAGCCATGTGCATATGCATATGCACTCACATTCTCGGGGAACCGATTGTTGAACGGGTTGAATCCTACCACTGGAAAGAGACACCTTCCCTGGTCTCTGTTGACAAGGCAATGACCCTCTTCCTTTTCCTCCACAAATGACTTTTGCAAAATAGTTTATTTGACATAAATCAATTGATTAAAAAAGGGAAACAAGAAAGCAACTGCCAGGAAACCCTCAAAAATAATGATAAATAAAAGACTGGCTCCCAAGTTCAATTCATAGGAATATAAGCTCCAGCTGTGTGAAAAGGTCCTGCATGCTTTACAGTTTACGGTTTAAGGTTTCTGACATTTTTTGGACAGGTCATTTATGATACTTTATGCTAACTGCTATGCAAATATTCTTATATCTAAGTAAATACTGGTGTTTTTTAAGTGAAAAGCATAAGCTTTTTGCAATGTGGTGCTGTTTGGATGGGGATTGTGAATGTTCTTGCATGCTTACAATGCAATAATTTGCCTTGGACTCTGATTTAATTTTGGATGCTATTTGGAGCCCTGACACTTACAATGACTCTGAAAACCCACTAACCGATGCACACCCAGTGATGGCATACGTGTTGCAATTACTAAGGCCCCATGCTTGTGTTTTGTTAACATTTCTGTTGCTTGTGGCCCTGAAAAGGACCTTTAGGTAACCAAACCTGGCTACTAATATGACATTGGCCAGCCCTTATTGCTTGTATAAGGATTGTTCATCTTTTACAAGTTTGACAAACTAAGTAACTAAATAATAAATAAATAACGTTTGTCTAAAGTAGTAAACCAATACCCGCTATACACTTAAT